TCTAGCTGGGTATTTGTTGAAGTCTTCTTATAGAAAACAAGTAAAGACACCCCTCCGCACCAAAGAGATCATTCTCAAATATGTCTGCAGCCAAAGTAAAAATTTTAATTTAAAAAGCACACTTAGGGGTTCCTGGATGTCTCAATCAGTTCAACATCTGACTCTTGATGTCAGCTCAGGTCATGATCTCTGGGTGAGAAGATGGAGCCCTGTGGGGCTCTGCATGAGATTCTCTCTTGTCCCCTCCCCCCTCAAATAAATACATCTTTAAAAAATTAAAAAAAAACACACTTAGACTCAGTTGTGTTATGCCTCTTTAATGTAGTATTAAATCTTGCCCTTGAAGTACTAAGTTTTATAAAATTTTTCTATATCCCAACAAGCTGATAGGATAGATGTTGGACCTGTCGCCTGTATTAACCTGGAAGGGGAAATCCGTATGCGTGCAACTGTCAGACTATGTGAAATTTACTAATTTTTCCAAGACTGACTAAATATAAAGTGTGGCCTTTTTAATTTTGAAGATAGGCAAAAACATAAAATTTGTTGTCCAGCACTACAACTAAACTTAAAGGGAAATATTTTTTTAGAGCATTTCTTAATACTCTTCCCATATAAAATCGTTAAGTATCACTAGTCACAGTTCACAGTACATTCTTTATTAGAAGTAACTGTCATAATAAAATGGTAATGATGGCTATAATGGCTACTATCTATTGAGAATTTGCTAGGTGCCAGGCACAGTATTAAATGGTTCCCATAGATTTCCTAATTTAGTACTGGCAGCCCTAATGAGGCAGGCACCATTATTATGCCAGTTTATAGATATTGAAAATGAAGCAGAGCAAAACATCTCCCCCTTTTCCCTGGGGTTCTATATTCAGAGGATCACTGCTTGAGAGAATTTTATGCTTCACTATAGCCTAGGAGGAAGTCCAAACTCGAAGGCTTAGCATGAATGGTCTTTAAAGAGCCGGTCCCTGACTACCTGACACTTTAGCTTCATCACCTTACTATCCCATTCACCCTTTATGCACTTGACCTGCTTCATGTAGTCATGTTCCTACCCTCATCCATGCCCCTTTCTCAGCATCTGCAGAGACAAGACCTATTCATCCTTTAAAACCAGCTCATCTTGGAAAAGCCTTTGCTTATATGCTAGTTAGATCTAGCTACCTCCCCTCTATGCACGTTCCAGTTATAGAACTATCACACTGTGATATATCCATTGAGCTATTTGTCTCTGTTTAACTACTGGACTTTAAGTTCCATGACATTAAGTACTTTAGTTTTGGTAACTTGAGTGCCTTACACAGGACCACGCAAGCATGTAGTGGGCACTCAAAAAGTATTTTTTGAATGAGTAACCAAACCTTCTTTTTTTAATTTACTTATTTGACAGAGAGAGGGAGAGAGCAAAAGGGAGAGAGGGAGAGGGCAAGCACAAGCAGGAGGAATGGCAGGCAGGGGAGAAGCAGGCTCCCCGCCGAGCAGGAGCCCAATGTGGGGCACGATCCCGGAATGCTGGCATCATGACCCAAGCCAAAGGCAGCGGCTTAACCAACTGAGCCACCCAGGCACCCCGACTAACCAAATCTTAAGTGATCACCCTATTTGTTCTTCTCCTCTCAATCATCCTGCTGGAAAAGATTTGCTAAACAGCCATTTCCTCTAATTTCATAATATTCAAAATTATTAGAAGGAATTGTACACAAGGAGTTAGGGAACCTAAGCTCTTGTCCCATGACTGTCATTTAGTAATTGAATGAAGATTAACTCATTCAACATTTTTTTTTCTACACATTTGCCATGTGCCAGGAACTATACACCACAGTGAGGATACAGCAGTGAATACACACCAGATAATAACCCCTACATCACAGAGCTTGTAAAGCCTACAGCTGGATTTTTCACCATAAAATCAAAAAAGTTGGACTAAGGTCCTCCCAAGTCTAAAATTCCACGAAACAATAAGCCAACCCTACATTTCTTAAAATATAACATAAAAGCACATAAGAATATAAAGTAAAAATAACACCAGGCAAATCAGTTCATAACCAGCCTCTGGTACAATTAGCCCATGGGTATTAATTCTTCCTTCCAAATATAGGTATCTTATAGAGAAGCAATCCTGCAATCCTTTTTAAAGTTAAACTTTGATTTGATCTGATGCAAAATATTGGAACTCTCTCTAGCTGTGAGTAGTAGAACTACCAAGGACAAAAGGGGGGAAAAAATCACTTCAATCATTAACAATGATTAGAAAAAAAATTCCATTTTATCCCTTGGGAATATGAATCTGTTCTATACATCTGATGTTAGTCACAACATAAAGAAAATGTTATTTAATCAAATTTTATTTGTGTGAAGAATTTTTTGATTCATGATACTCGAACCAAAAAAGGTAAGACAGTACTAGTGTACAAATTCCATAGTAATAACTAAATTAACCTAGATTCTCAGCTGCTTCATTAAAAAAAGTTAAGTAGAAGAGGTCATAATTATTTAGTTTGTGTCCCAATCTCAGCTGGCGAATATTCTAAATGAACAATAATACAAGTAATTTTAAGGGAAGGGAAATTCCTTGTCGCCAAGCCTATAAATCCAATATTGACAGACACAATTAGCATACTATCTTCCTGATCATATTCTGAGAGGTGTTTGGACAGGAAATCTAATTCTCTAAAGATAAAGGCTGAGTTATTCTTATCATAACTGAGTAAAACATATCAATTCTTTTAACATGCTGTGATCCCAAGACGTACTTCCTGACACATTCTTTTCCCTCAAACTTGTTGACATTGGGTGGTTACTATTGACAGTTTATGTGGACACTGAACTATGATAAAAAAAAAAATAAGCACACAGTACTGGGTTTGTTCTTCCATTAACATCATAAATCATGGAAACTGAAATAGACTTTTGAGTTATATGGTGAGTTTTGTCATGTTCTAGATGAGAAAACCGAGGCCTGTAGAGGTGAACAAAATTACGGCAAGCCGCACAATCAGTTAGTGGTGGAGCCATGACACGTTCTGTTGCCCCAACCCAGTGTTTTCTTCCCATCATGTATTATGCCAGTGCTTTCTTTGTGGGTTGAGTTCCATTTCACAAGCTCCCGTTCGTTACACTGAACCATAACATCAGGTATAAGAGTAGGAGAGATTGGGGGCAATACTGAAGCAGTTTAGATGGTTGTCTTCTTTTTTTCTTGGAAAATCAATACCTCTGTGTGTTTGTGGGAAGAAAAACAGCGGCAAGTTTGTACATCTGCAGCATAACTGGTGTGTTGGAAATGAAACAAAAAGCTTTCCTCATCTAACTAAATTTGAGAGCGTGAATAAGCTGAATTTCCCCATCTGGAGACTCTCAGACTAGACAAGACTTACAAATTAATATGACTGCATAGGTCTGGGGCCTGAAGGAAATTAGGTCAGGCCCAGAAAGGAATCAGGTGGCTGACCACAAGTCAAAATTTTAATATGGATTCAAAACAAAGGGCAGAGATCTAATGCTGTAATTCACTGAACGCCATTAGGACTACACCAGAGTGTGTGATGAAGGAACCTTCAGGACAAGAAAATAGAAATGGAAACAATACTAAAGGACAGGAAATGTTTTAATCCAAGTACAATCCCGACTTTGGTCCTCCTTTTAATCAACTCTTCTGTGTCCTTCCCCTCATTGTCTTTTCCTCTCCCTGTCTTCCTTCTCTCAGTCTTTCACATGTCATCTCACATTCTCTTTATGTAGAACATTCCTGCTTTCACACTGCAGTTTTATTTCTCCTTGACTTCATTTCTAAGAATTGAGATCCATAGCAAGACACAGAAGAAGTACTTTGATAAGGAAGATAAAACCAATCTGAGATGAAAATTATCAGGACATACTCATTGTTTTGATGTAGCTTAGGGTCAAAACAGAGACATGCAGGAGTATTTTTAAGAACATAGATAGGAGATTTGCTCCCTGTAATCTGTTTTTCTTAGGGTCTCCAGCTCATTCTCCAAAGACATACTTTGAAGGCTTTGTATATGCCCTCTGCTGAGAGGGTGGCCATTATGAGAGCCAACCCAGGATGTTCCCAATGCATTCTGCTATTAAGTGTAGGTAAGAAAAGTTAGAACATGTTTCTCTCTTGGGAATCTCTTGTGGCTTCATCCCTTGTACAAAGGTCTGAGCTTCCAAAAGTTCAAGATTGATTTTTGGAGAAAAGAAGTGAAGAATTTTCTAGCCAACCAAGAAACAGATTCTTTGGATGAAATGTCAGAATAAGAGGGCGGGGGGGAAAGAATTCTACATGGGATACTATGACAGTTCTCTAAAGGCAATGACTGGGAGAAGAATGCATTTATTTTTGGATAGAGGGTTATAGCCTTCAGAATTTCATTTTCTGTAAAGTTCTTGTGGTTAACATAAGTTTAAAAATGTGTTTCTGTGCAGAACATTTCAGATTCATTTATGCAGAATTATGTAACGCTTGGAAAAATCTCCCTTAAATTCCCATGCATTATGGGGACACAAAATTCTACAAATTATATTTGTGAATATCCAGTTCCCTCTATCATCACAAATTCTCAAAGTATACTAAATGTGGAAAGTGTGTCATTATAATATATTCACTCTCTCTCTCACAGAAATGATTGGCCATAGAACAGTTGCCCAGTGATTCAATGGTACTAGCCTTGCATTGGCTATTTCAGATAAGATCACACATTACTTATCTAAACACTTCTACAGCCTGGCTGGTCACTTTAAACAGTTGGCCCATTAAAATGTTAACCCATTACTCTTTAAAAAATATATATGGATTTTCCAGAAAATTTTCTCAAAAGAAATCACTTACATCATGGACCACCGCCCCAAAACCCCTAAAAAGCGTTAGACAAATCGACAGTCAGAGGACATATTAATGGACTCATCTTTCACCTCCTCTAAATTCTAGACAATCTTTCTTTTTTCACTTAAATATGGAAAACGTGACAAATGTAAGCCCTTACCAACTTCCCACTTCAGAAGGCTGTTGTCTTCCCTCTCCATTTTTCCAATGACATACCAGATACACGCCATCCAGTGTGCAAGAAGCGCAAACATGGACATGAGCAGAGTCAGGACGATTGTGCTATGCTGGGAATAACGGTCCAACTTCTGCAGGAGACGCAAAAGACGCAGCAGCCGAACGGTCTTCAGGAGATGCACGAGAGACACCTGAGGGAGGAGACAGAGCAGCACAACTTGGCACATGGCTCCTTGCATGCTGCTACAGTTACTTTAACTTCCAGCCATTCTGAAAGTTCTTGAAATTAAATATAATCATGAATCCCATGCTATGGTCATTTTTATGACCATCCCAATGTCCCTTCTCCACATATTATATCGAGAGGTGATGGAATAAAAGATGATAAGACAACTTAATTTCTTCAAATTAATACTTATTTTCCTTAGGATTTATCTTTTTTCTCTACTTATTTGATTGAATCTAATTTTGTATATTCTGATACACAACTGAAACACATTATGATTTCAGGATTGAGTGTAAGGTGTCTCCACCTCTTGCATAGGTGTTCTTTCAATTCCACATCCCTCCGTCCATGTAAGACAGGCCTTATAACAATAATTTGTACCCACTGAAGTAAAACCGTGTGAAGTGGTAACAAAGGTAACTTAGTTTTTGAAACAAATAGTGATTAGATCTATCAAACTTGTGTAATATCTACTCACAAATACCAGTAGCACCTCCTGTCTCCTGGGCTGTGTTCTCTTCTCTCTAACATCATCAATAGAGCAAACACATTCCTGACGCTTTTGCATTCTGAGCCCTCTCTCAAACAGACATGCTTCGGGAACCAAAATTAAAACGGACCAAATTTTTTGAAAACTCTCCTAGGTCCTGCCTTCGTATGCACTAAAACAATACACTTGTAGCTAAGGGAGTATTGTCCTGACTTTAGGACCCAACTGAAAAATGGGCACCATTGGTGTCCACCCGAATGGTCCATGTCATTGTTAACAGCATATGTGGTACACTAATGCATACTCTTTCACACCTCAGAGAGCCTCAGTGAGCATTCTAAAATAGAAAAGGGAAATAAAGTATTAGCTCATATGAAAATAGTTTGACAAATTTGGCCTTTTCTAATGTGTGTGTGTGTGTGTGTGTGTGTGTGTGTGTGTGTGTGTTTAAGGAATCATAAATAAAGGGGAAGAAAGTGGTTTGTATGACTACACCTAAGAACAGTATTTCCTCAGCAGATAGAATCACAAACAAGGTCAGCATCTTCTGTAAATTTGCCTTTGTAATTAGCTCTGGAGTCAGTTGACTTCCAGTTCCTTCTACCACTACACATGTCCCCTTATGTCGAAGAAAAGTGTACCTAGAGCAGTGCCTGACACATATTAAGTGCTCAATAAATATGTATTAAATGAATGAATGGGTAATAAATTGAGATACAAGACATTCTACACTCAATATAATAATAGAAATTCAACAAAAGTATTTTCAATTGTAATTTTGTGACTTACTCTATACTGAAATAAAATAAAATCATAAGGTCAATAGAAGCTCTTGCCAGCTAGCTGTGCTTTTATTTCTTTTTCTCATTCTTCTGTGCCAAGTTTTATTTTCTTTTCCTTCTCAGCCAAGTTCTCATCTGTCAGTTCTCTGGTTCATTGTAAACCAGGCGATTCCGTGGCAGTATTTTGCAGTATCTACTTTGTAGCTTAGAGGAATTGCGAGGGGTAGAGTTTATTTTATAGGTCGAAGAATCTGACAGATAGATGACAGTTTTATAATTGAAATGAAACCTCAAACAGAAATCCCAGATGGAGGAAGCCATCTGCTATGGACTGAATTTGTCCCTCCAAATCTCATGTGTTGAACCCTTCATCTTCAACGTGATGATAACCGGTGATGGGACTTTTGGGAAGTGATTTGGTTTAAATGAGGTCGGGAGGGTGGGATCCTCAAGATGGGATTAGTGCCCTTATAAGAAGAGCCCAGAGAATTCTCTTCTCTTCTCTTCTCTTCTCTTCTCTTCTCTTCTCTTCTCTTCTCTTCTCTTCTCTTCTTCTCTTCTCTTCTCTTTCTCTTCTCTTCTTCTCTCTTCTTCTCTTCTTTTCTCTTCTCCTCTCTTCTTCTCTCCCTAACTCCCTCTCTCCTTAACCCAGGATCTCTCTCTCCCCTCAATACGTGAGAACACAGCAAGAAGACAGCTGTCTACAAGCCAGGAAAAGAACCCTCATTAAGAACCAAACTGGCTGGAACCTTCATCTGTGACTTCCCAGTCTTCAGAACTGAGAAATAAATTCCTATTGTTTAAGGCACCTAGTTAATGATATTTTGTTATAGCAGCCTGAGCAGACTAAGACACCACTCAATATAGAATACTGATGTGGGCAATCTCCCCATCTTCTCAGACCATAAAGATGAGTTTGAGGGAAGAATGGGGGACTGTCCTTATATGAGAACAATAGCCATTTGGAAAGATAAGGGACACACAACTTAGTGTCCAGGATGGGGTAGCCTCAGTAATTTTGCTGACATTTTTGATATAAACTATGCTTATTCCTATCTGAGTCAACAGCTTCTTGCTATAAAATGTGTTTGGGCTCTTAATGAATGACATAAGAAAGAGGCACATTTGATTTAAATGGAAATATAGAATCTAAAAAAGGGAAAGTATTCTTTCTACTCTTGGGATGCAGTTCTGAATTTGTCACTGATAAAAATTAGAAACAGCTTATAGGCAGGTGCAAGACAGTAATGTACTCAACAGAACCCCCTATCAAATGGCAGTTTCCCCTATTACCAGGAGGACATGACCACCCCCCTGGTTATCCACTAGAGGGAGAAAGAGAGAGAGAAGTTGATTAACATGTACTGAGGTCTTTCTGGGTGTTTGACACTTAGCAAGGTACTTTCTAGAAATGTTGGCTTTTTAGGCTGCTGAGAAACCCTGTAGTGATTTCTGTACTCATTTTGCCCATTTTGATGTTAACTTCCCCAAGGAAGTCACTCAGACAGTAAGTAGTAAGACTAGGATTTATACTTTTGTCTTTTTTCACTCTATCATATTTTCTGTCTCATTCACAGCTTTGTCTCTCAGAGTGCCTTTCATAGTGATTTACACATAGTAAATTTTATTAAAGAAATGTGTGAGTTGTATATAAAATATTTACCACCAGCAATTATGGGCAAAGTAAAAATTAGAGTATCTAATACATTTTTGATGGTTGTAATGAATTTTTGAATGATCTACAGAGATGAACTTACTGGATGTATTTTAAATCTGGAAAGCCAACATCTGTATTTGCTTATTTATTTATTTATTTATTTAAGTCTGCGCAGTATAAAAAAAATCACATAATGCATAAACCGTTCCTCGTAACTTATGTTTTCCTAGGGAGTAAACATAATAAATACACTGAACAAGGTTTTCTGTTCAAATAGAATGTTTCATCTTGAATAATTTATTTGGGGGCATAGCAAATTTATGTGCCAATTTGTTAATGATCATATGCTTCCTCCTGTGAGAAACAAAAATTATCACTGAGAAGACAGATTCCTTTATTCCTTCCTCTTTTTCTTTCTTTCTAATGTAGATGTTGATGTATAACTTGCATTCTTTATAAAATGTTCATGCCAGATTTCACAAGACAGAATGAAGAAAGGAAGCAAGAATTCAATAAAAGTGTGCAAATATTTAAAATTCATCAAAATATGAGAATTAGACTTTTTTCAAAAATCCTTTGTGTTAATTTTAGGCAGTGAGGATGTTAATGATATATAAACAGGTTATGTATCTTAAAATTGTATATATTTTACAAATAATTATATAATATATATTCTAAACAATTTCATTTGTTCAGTGCCCAAAGAGAAGTGGAATATAAAACAATATTGTTAGTATTTAGTAGCAAAGCAGTAATTTAATTCAGAGCACACTCTATTAAACACCATTTATTTAACAATTCTCCAGGACAATGTGGAAAATTTTTAACATTTTGTGAATTATATATTTCTTCTGAAATTTTTTTGTTGCAGTCTTGCAAAAGCCTTGTTTTAAGTCATTATGCTTTCATTACAGTACACTTATCTATTCAAATTCAATTTTAAAAAGCACTTTAAAAAGCCTGGATAACAATTCAAAGTGGCACTGATTGATATTATATACTAAATTTTTCCCCAGAGGTTTCCTTCCAGTTGACTTATAAACCTCTTAAAGATGTTGACACTCTCAACTTCCCATCTTAAAAAAAAAAAGAAAGAAAAAGAAAAGAAAAATACTCTCATAGGTCATCAACAATTGCACAAATCTGCACTAAATAGGCAGGATTACAGTTCAATCTTCATTATGAAGTCAATAAAGACTCTCTTTGAAAAACAATGATCACTTTAATATTGAAAACTATGCTTTTAAATTCTTTTTTTTTTTAAAGATTTTTTTTTTTCTTTTTTTTTTTAAGATTTTATTTATTTATTTGACAGATAGAGATCACAAGTAGGCAGAGAGGCAGGCAGAGAGAGAGGAGGAAGCAGGCTCCCTGCTGAGCAGAGAGCCCGACATGGGGCTCGATCCCAAGACCCTGAGATCATGACCTGAGCCGAAGGCAGAGGCTTTAACCCACTGAGCCACCCAGGCGCCCCAAGATTTTATTTATTTATTTGACAGACAGAGATCACAAGTAGGCAGAGAGGCAGGCAGAGAGAGAGGAGGAAGCAGGCTCCCCACGGAGCAGAGAGCCAGATGCGGGGCTCGATCCCAGGACCCTGGGATCATGACCTGAGCCGAAGGCAGAGGCTTAACCCACTGAGCCACCCAGGCACCCCTGCTTTTAAATTCTTGATAAAGAATCTCAAGGGGTTGTCGACTAAGTAAGAAATATGTTTAATTTGAACTAATGTTTAGTAAATTTTTGCCTGCTTAAATTTGTTACTTTAACTCTTAATCTCAGGAAACAAACTGAGGGTGGCTGGGCAGTGAGATGAGAGGGACAGAGTGGCTGGAGGATGGACATTGGGGAGGGTATGTGCTATGGTGAGTGCTGTGAATTGTGTAAGACTGATGAATCACAGACCTGTACCCCTGAGGCAAATAATACATTATATGTTAATTTAAAAAACTCTAGGAGCAAATTGCATTATTGGCCCCAAAATGCTATTATATGTCCCTAAAATTCTCTCTATGTATAGGGAGCACTTAACGCTCTTAAGAAACAACCATTGTTCAACAGTAAAAATAGCTGCTACCACCAAAGGACATACTTGCTTTTCTGCAAAAGGCATGAGGTTGTATAAAGAGTTTCCATGAAGAAAGAGGAGAAGTTACAATCCTACAGAAAAGTCAAAGACCCAACAAAGCTCTCAAGTTCATGGTCATTGTATCATTTACATTTCTGTTCCTCCCAACATTTTTACAAGGATTTCTAAGAATTGGTTGAATTCTTCTATTTTAATTTCAGTACTCTTCTGTATCTTGATCTGTCCTTTCTTTGTTTTGCCAGTGAATAATGAAATACTCAAGAGGTAGAGAGTAAAAGTCCTAAAACTAGAAGAAATCTTAAACTCTACACTGAACTTTGGAGGCAAATAACTGCCTAAGGAATGAAAAATAAGGCTTGTATTCCTGCAGATGGTTTCCTTACCAAAGGATTTGTTCTAAGTCGGTATTGATGATAAACTCGGGCTTTTGGTATATCCTGGTCTAGGTATTTATTTTTTTTTTAAAGATTTTATTTATTTATTTGACAGACAGAGATCACAAGTAGGCAGAGAAGCAGGCAGAGAGAGAGAGCGGGAAGCAGGCTCCCTGCTGAGTGGAGAGCCTGATGTAGGGCTCCATCCCAGGACCCTGAGATCATGACCTGAGCTGAAGGCAGAGGCTTGAACCCACTGAGCCACCCAGGCACCCCATGGTCTAGGTATTTAAATAACTCAAACCAGTAATGCAAATTTTTAAAAGGAACTAACTTCTTCAAATGGACTGTCTGTGGCTTGCATATCCTTGGCCACTTTGGTGTCTTTATTCAGGAGGGCATAAAATCCTGGGTGCACAGGCTGTCACAAACACTTAAAACCTGAACATGTGGAAAATAAACACAGGGTTAAAAATAACCTTTAAGGTCATGCAGAAGGGAGCTCTTTACTCACCACTGTGACATTGAAAGCATACAGGAGATCAAATGGCAGGGCAGCAATTAAATCAATGATGAACCAGGTTGTGACGTAGTGGATGCAAATTGATCTTGCTTCAAAGATAACTTGGCCAGACTTGCTGACATAGGTTGTTCGGAAATTTAAAATAATATCTGCTTGAGAAAAAAAGATAAGAGAAAGAGGAGGAAGGAGCGGAGAGAAGAAAAGGAGGAAAGACAAGGAAAGAAGGAAGGATGGAGGTAGGCAGGCATGCGGGCAGGGAGGAAAGGTGGAGGAAGAAAATTGCATAAAATTATATAAAATCAGACAAATAGTAACCTCATAATGTATTCCAGACTGATAGCACCTGAAATTCTCTTCTTGACAGATCCAGTTTAATTCAACAAACAGGTATTGAAGAAGGGTGAAGGAAGTAATATTTTCTGGGCACTTAATACATTCCAGACATGGGGCCACACGTTAGCATAATTAAAATGAATAAAAATAACAATAACAACAATAGTCACCAGTTACTAAATGCTCACTATGTACTTGGCATTGTCCTAAGAACTCAGCATAGGTTATTTCACTTAATCCTCAGAACATGTTCTTAAGTAGACAGTATTACCTCTATGTTAAAGAGGCAAAAACTGTTGTTGTTTTTTTTTTTTTTTTCCAAAAACTAAGTCTTAATGAAGAAAAGTAACACATCCATGATCATAATGTCAACAGTGGCAAGGATGATTTTGAACACAGATATAATTTCCAGTTTGTAATCTTTTTTTTTAAATAAAATTATACTTTATTTCATGAACAAAGTTTTACTAATCTCTATTTAGGCAGAGAATTCATCTCTGCCCTAATGGCACTTATATTAACAAAATACCAGAAGATTCTTGTTTAAATTTCTAGGTTAAATTTCCCCATTCCATTTTCGTGGATGATGTAATCATTTCAACCCTTCCTTACATTTTATTATATTTTTATTTTATATTCTATTTTATATTTACATTTACTAAATATTATGAAGCTTTCAACAATATATGGCCTTCATGAGCGCTGGTAAATGACAACCAGACCCACAAGGATCGTCTTGGGGTCACTCCTGCTATCTATAAATAAACATCTCTATTAGTCCTTGGGTTAAATATCTTTAAAGCACTGGAAGAGATTACCTTTTCCTTAGTCTGTTTTAGAGTTGAGCACAACCAGGCCATAGGGAATTTCAGGATTGCTACATACATGCAAGGAGGGTAATGGTTGAGTATTTTATGGACCATGAATTCAATACAACATACTTCTCTATGGAACTTCATTCTTGAGGAGTGCCATGATTCATTGACTCAATGATCAAAGGAGGGAATGTGGGAAGTAAATATACCAAAGAGAATAAGAATTGAGGGAGTTATGAAGCAAATGCAAAGCTCTGAGTTGCATAGTTATTGAATGAACTGGAATAATCTTTACAATTTATTTAAACCTTTGAAAATAAGTAGAATAGGGCTGCATGAGGGTAAAAATTGATATCACGATCATGATGATGATGGCAGTGATACGACATACATAATGTGTACTAGGTATGTTATTTTTACTTTTCACTTCATGTTCACATTTGTGGTAGGCAGAATTCAACAATGACCCTCTCTCTCACACAATCTCCTCCCCTTAAGTGGGGTGGAACCTGTGAGCATGATATCATGCATTGATCATGTTATAGGATATGGCTAACAGGAGATTTGCCTGGATGGCCTGACTTGATCAGTTAAGTCCTGTACAAGCAAGTTTTCTTCAACTGGTGGTAAGGGATTGGAAACCAGTGAGATACATTCTTCCTGGCTGGGAAGAAAGCAATGGCCACGATGCTGAAAAGGCCACGTGACAGCGAGAGGCAGACTGTCTCTAGTTGCTGAGAGTGGCCCCTTACTGACCTCTAGCAAGAAATGGTGACTTCCATCCTAAGGAAATGAGTTCTTCCAACAGCCACATGAGTTTGCAAGAGGATCTTAGGTCCAGAAAGAAAAGACCGAGTTGACACCTGGATTTCAGTCTTATGAAGCTCTGAGCAGAGCACCCAGCTAGGCCAGACCTATCTAACCTATAGAAACTAAATAATCAATAGCTCCTGTTTTAAGCTACCAAGTTTGTGGTGATTGGCTGGGCAGCACTACAGAAATGAATACAACATGGGGGTTCCTGGTGGCTCAGTTGTTTAAACGGCTGCCTTCAGCTCAGGTCATGATACTAGAGTCCCAGGATTGAGTCCCACCTCGGGCTCCCTGCTCAATGGGGAGTCTTCTTCTTCCTTTGAACCCCCCCCACCCCCATGCTCTCTCTCTCTCAAATAGATAAATAAAATCTTTTTTAAAAAATGAATACAACATGGGTTCGGTCATTTGGTTCTCATCATAACCTTGTGAAGAGAGATAATATAGGAACTATGACAAGACAGATTACTATTACATTATCAGAGATACCATAGATGCTGTTAGCATGAGCCCAGTACTGTTCTGGGCCATTTATAATCATTATCTCATGGACTCCTTACAACAATGCTAAGAGGTAAACAGTTTTATGATCCTCTTTATAGATGAGGAAACTGAGACACAAAGGAACTGAAGTGACTTGTCCAGAGTCACACAAATGATGAAACTGAAGCATGGGATTAGACTCCTCAGCTAGTTAGTGAATGAGCAAGACCCAAACCCAAGTCTTCTAATTTCCAATTTAGTACTTTGACTTTTGGTACCTTCACAGAGGCCAGTCCCCTTCCAAGTCTGGAAGCAAGTTCTGGGGGACTTAAAAATAAAGTAATTTTTCTAGTCTACTGTGAATAAACCAACTTTTTAAAATGGCATTATTAAAAGTCACATTTTTGTCAAAAAAAATATTGAAATAGTTCTATTGTTAATATTGAGAATTGGAAAGGGGGAATCAGTGGCTAAACCATTCACAAAGATGAAAACCATCCCAAGATGGTTTCTGCTGCAAAGTAAAAGTGCTATCATGCTGCAGGGCCACCAAGAAGGAACAGAACACTGGAATGCCATCAGGCTGTTAGGGTAGCATGTGCACTTCTCATTCTTTCTTTTCACTTTCTGGGCTCATGTATTTGTTTCTTAGCAAGCCAATTTAACAGGTCAGGCCACCAGCTGTTGAAATAAGGCAGGGATTTCAACTTCCTGCTTTCCAAAAGAGAGCTCAGATTAGGCATTTAGGTTTTCATTTTATGAGTGAGAAATCCAGAGTTATTTACCACGCCCTTCCAATGAAGAAAACCCCGCGGTTTTCCATAACACAGGCTGAGATAAGTCTGTAAGTTCATTATAAGATTGGAGGGACAGAATCACTAAATTTTACTCCTGAAATCAATATTACACAATATGTTAACTAACTAGAATTTAAATAAAGACTTGAAAAAGAGGGGAAAAAAGACCGGAGGGACAAATTCCTTGCATATTTACTAACTGATCACCCGTTCTACCACAAATTTCACAGAAAACCAGCTGTCACCATCTACACTCTGGGGCACACCCATGAATGGAGGAATGAATAAAGTGATTGGCCTTTGGTTGATTGATGCAGCAAACATTTTTAAAGCTGTGTAGTAAATTATGTGTTTGACTAAAAAATAAAAGAGGGGCAGACTTCTGAATAGAAAAGACATTTTCTTGGATGAGTCATTACAGAGTATCAGTTTAGGAAGCTTTTAAAAAATAATTTGTTACTCATTTGAGTTAATTGGGTGAACAGAAGATATGCTAATTTTAGGTTTTAAAAAGAAGTAATTATAAGACTTTTTTAAATTATAAGACTTTTATACACAAACAGTGACAATAGTTAATATAAAAGCGATTTTTTAAAAATCTACAGATACATGTCTATTTTTGAAATACATGAATACTTCAGGTTTATTTTCAGGGAGATAAAACTCAATATATATTATATTCCAAGATTTCCAGGACAATGGTCCTATTGTTGTGCAAAACTGTAGGTTTATTCAATGATTAGTATTATTTTTGGAAAGCTCATTTCTAAGAAACCTACTTTTGTCATATGCTTAAAAATAGTCATAATTCTGGTGTATTGTGATTTACAAAACTTTCTCACATTCATGATTTTGTGTGACAATACCAATTCTCTAATGTGTACTATTTTACCAAGGACTCAGGAGATTTAAGAACCTTATTTAAAGCCATGAAGACAGTAAGCAACAGAAGACAGGACATCTATTGACACTTGATCCCATTTTCTTTCCATTACCTTCAAGATTACCACACTTCCCAATATATTTTAGAGGGAATAACAACAGGTTGGTGCAGGGCAGTGCATTTCTGTTGAGAACCCCTGGGTCAAACAGAGCATCAGCACCACCCAGGTAAAAGAATGTCACAAAAGTGTCATAGGAGACACCGAATTGAATGTAAGGGGATGAACTGTCTTGGATTCTGTCTAGGGACAGCAGGGAATACTGTTTTCTTGTCACTGATAAGAATGTGGTATCGGTGTTTGAGAACCAAGAGAAATCAATGCTTGTAAATATCCCCTTAAATGGAAGGGCAGAGATGACTCCCCAAGTACTCTAAGAATGAAGGAAGCATAGAATAAAACAAGATTCTGATGAGGAAGAAAAAAGCCTTCCTTCCAGAGCTGGTGTCCCTCCTAAGAGAATCACAGCTGCGAAGTGGAGCTTGGCAAACATTGGCAGCAGCCTCTCCTCCTCCTGTGCTTATCTCACTTCCTTTAAAGGTTGTGTATCTTCGGCAATTAAATCAGTGACTCATTCAAACATTACAGTAAGAATGTGGGCTCCTCCAGACAGTCCACAACTTACCTGAAATGCAACAGTGTGGTTTCTATTTTGAGACATCCGGAAAGCATAAGTATAATGTTTTTTTGATGTATGTTGAAAATACATGAAGGCATACTCATTGTTATCCAAATTTCTATATGTGGTTTTCCTCATTAATTATGTTTATTATCAACATGCACAATTGTCCATAAATACACACAACACACACACACACACACACACACACACACAGTTCGAACCAGGAAAATATTCTAAAAACTGTAACAAATTAATTTATAAGAATTTACTGCCTCAAAACCTTACTGTCTCATGTGTTTGTATGTACATAAATAATCCCTTGTAACGCATGGTGCTGGTATCATG